GTCGCTATGGTCTTGAAAAATTGCAGCGCGTATTTTAAGTCGTCACTTAAGGGTTAAGGGACACTTAAGAGTTAAGTGACCTGTTTTTTTAATAATAGGCTAATTCTTAATAAATCTGAAACTTATGCTATGTTTTTTTCAAACAACTCACTGTAGAGCAAATTTTCAGAATTCAATATAGTATCTTAATGGTACAACAATTACTGTGTCTCACAATACTAGATTTCTTGGTCTTGAATTAGATAGTTACCTCAGGTGGGACCAACATTATAGGTTATTTAAGAAATAAGCTCAATGAGCTATCCTATTCTATAAGAATTATTGCTAAGTATTTGGATAAAAAACTTTGCAAATTGTGTACCATTCAAATTTTTTAATCTAGATTAAGATTTTTGTAATACAGAAGAGAACATTGAGAAGTATTTTGGGTTTGAAGTTAAATGAATCACGTAGAAGCCTAGAACCATATCTATACAATCGATTACTTTTTTAAGACAGATTTGTATAATATACTATAGAGCAAGATTTTGTCGTTACTTTCGTTTGGTTAACACTATTTATATCACAAGTAGCTCACAGCTTTTGTATTGCATTTGTATTTGCAAATCAAGATTACTGTTCTTGTTATTGATTTGGCGGCAATTGACATGTATTTTTCGACTAACTAGAGTGTTTACGTCTAAGGAACACTCAACGCTAAAGTGGCTACTACAAATGCGGGCCTGTATCTTTCACGTCGTTGTCTGTGCATATACACGATGTCCAAGTTTAATCTTCTCACCTGAATATTTTGAAAATGCGAATTATAGAAAAAAGAGTTTTAAAAGGAAGTCGTTTCGAGATGGCAAAATGATGGTGATTCTGATAATGACCTTGACCGTGCCTTCCAGTCATTTCAAGGTCAGGCTAATATTTTTAAATTGAGCATAGGAATTGAAAAGGGGTATATCGTACGTCGTTGCTCTAGAAAAAATGTCCGACACCATAGTTGTGAGCTTTGTGGGAATAACTCACAGATACCCTTGACTATGACCGTGCCTGTGACTTTCAAACTCAAGTCAAAATTTCCGAAAGAAACCTCTCATGTTTATGTTGGAAATGGAAAAATCAGGAAATTTTACCTTTGAATATAACCTTGACTTGCAGTCCAGGTCGTGTCAAGCTATTGGAACTTGAATTCAAGATCACATGTTTACGTAAAATGTCCTGCCTTTTCCATTTCCAGTATAAAAATGAGGTCCTTTGCAAATGTTGACTTGATCTTGAAGTTTATAGTTAAGGTCTGGTGATCCCTACAAACCTCACAATTGTAGTGTCGAGATTTTTTTGCTAGAACAAATCGAGGTCATAATTTTACATTAAAGGCAGTGCTCAGTTATGAGCTAGGTGAGGTTCAGACGCAGTATTTGCTCTTTTTCTATTCCGATGTGAAACAGTGGGGGTTCCATTTGAAAATATTCACTTGACATTGATAACACCTTAAAGGTCATAGTCAATGTCACTGTCAAGGTCACTACTTTTGTTTCAAAGTTTTTTCTATAATATTGGAGATTACAGTTTGCCAAGTCTACATAAAAATGATTTATCTTTCAAAACTTTTTGAAAAGTAAGGTGACTTACCGTGCGTTTACGGAAGACGGATTCCCAACATCATCTATCGAAGGTTTCCTGAAATACAAACGGAAGTCAGTACACACCAGTCCAAGGTCACGAATCATTTTCAAATCGCCAGTCCTCCGGTTTCACTCATACTATCACTTGTCACTTCAGAATTTCTTTAAGGAGACTTTTGTGGTATAATGTAGGTTAGATCAAAAGAATATAATGCCAGATCCACGTGTTAGGGTCATATACCCTCCCCTCTCTCAAGTTAGAGGGCCAGTTGCGGGAAATGCAACTACCGGGGTTACAGTAGTAGTGAGTACACGCGGAATGTGACTACTGCCTACTGCTGCCTTCCGTGGATGTTGTTTAAATCCCCTCTTTCCATATGCGACACCCTAAAGTCTTAATATTATGGTCGATTCTCGCCCCTGCTTCATTTACTGACACACTCTGATAAAGAATCTCACTTTTAGATAGCGGCGACAGAGATAGTGGGTAAGTTGGAGAAAAAAGTAAATGCTCTTGATATTTTGTTGTTACGCATTTTTTTTTAACGGATAATTAGGTTTATCCGTTGCTGAGATATAGCCGGCGTCCTTTATTATTGGGTCACCCGGTATATTAAACTAAACTACGTCACCAAGCTTTACTGCTAATTAGTATAAAACATGAAAAATCTCTGACCCAGATCAAACCCGTTATGACGTGTGGTCAAATTATCTCCTAACGTGTCGACTAACAAAATCATAATCACCTGTTTAGATAAATGATAGCACGTTTGAGAACTTATAATTTCAATCTGTTGATAGAAGAGGAAAGAAGAGTCTTAAGCATTTAAAACGCGTTTCGTTCGCGTGCCGCTGAAATGCCGATGCCGCAGACCTGGAACATCAAGTTTCTTTGCCCAAGAACGCTTCCATCACTGGCGTACCTAAAATATTTCAGACAGGATAGATTTTGGGCGCTCACCACCTTAGGGAAATGTACTTTGCACGTCACTATAGATTTTAGTGAGCGCGCAGAGGGAGTCTCACACGACAGACTAAATAGTCTTATATGATCATCAAGTGTCTCATTCAAAAGAGCATCCAAAACACCCTAAACAGGACACGTAAAACAAGAAGTTAGATAGTCTCATTTATTTGGCTACCGGGAGATTTGTACAATAGCCAGAGCATTCGGCGTTTGTCTGGGTCTGCTATGAACTCTTCACGAGGTATGTACTGAATCTGAGATGATTTTATCTTTGGAGATACTACCGCCTCTAAAGCGTTTGACTGTCGAAAGAAACATAAATGCTGTTTCCTGCACTTTGTTTTACCGCTGAATATGCTAGCATCAGGTTAGCACGACATCCGTTTATACTTTTTGGAATATACAGAAATCTACGCCTATGCGATCGGCGTGCCTCGGTTTCTTTAAGTCTTGGGTTGTCCGCTATGTCGGTCTCTGCAGATAATATCATATAGACCACCATTCAATCGTTTCTCGAAACAAATACAACTCCATATATGTCACTAACCTTCAGCAATCTGCAACTACCAATTATGGTCTAATTGGTTTTAGGAAACAACATTGATTTTCTGCACTTTTATTTATTACTCTTAATAAAGCTGCTTTTAAGCTCCTAATTGACAGAGGTGGGAAATAAAGCTCCATCGGAAAATTAACCTTCGGTGAAACAGATCAAAATCTAAGTTGGAACGATAAATCAAATTTTGGACCCAGGATGCGTCGACTATCCAGCCACGGTGACCTGATATATGAAAAAATACATAGGTTCTTCAATTGTACCCCATAATTTAACCTAGTTGTCTTTGGATTATGAATAATTCAGAAAATACTGTGCTTTTTTGCACTTGTTTTATTTAGATTTTTTTATAAAATCCAGGGTGCCATGTCATGACATTCTGGGGCAGAAGCAAACGAATAAGATAAAACAAATGAGTGCAAACGTCGCGTCGATACCATTGAGGTCGCGTCATTAGCAAGTTAGCTTTAAAATTTTTCTTTTTCTTAAAAGGTGTGTGCCCGCCTACAATGAACCCCTGTTTTCCAGCGATTTGGAGTACATGTCGTTATTGTCTGGCCGGGTGCTTGATCTGATTGCCATCATTGTCGATCTTCTGCAAGTTGATTCAACAGCAGCAGGAATTTGATCGATGGCATTTTTTAGGCGCTCTATCATATGTTGCCGTCTAGTCGGCTGCGTTCAATAAACGATAAATTTTGCTCTGCCCAAAACATCAAAAATAGAATCATAAAGATGATGTATCATATTGATACATTTTATATGAATATCAATAGCTTGAATTTTACTTTCTATGCAGTAGTACTTGAAAATTGTTTTTTCAAAATATCTCCACAACCAATAAAGATATCGATCTGCGGTTATCGCTATTTTATGATTTCCTATGCTCTTTCCGAGCAATATTAGAAAAGTATACCGCTGTACTTGAAATTTTCGAAGAAATAAAAAAACAGTAACACATATATAAAACGCTATCTAGTGGTCACAAAGTGAACTAAGTTGACAAGATTGAGCCCTGAGTAGGAACGCAAGCGAAAGTTCTTTCGCACGAAACCAAGATCGTGAAAATAACAGCAGCCAAACAGAAGTTATATTACTTTTTTCTGAAATAACATTCAAGCCTCCCCCCACCCAAAACGAAACATAATAGTCATATCGACTCGTTGATCTAGTGTCGTGGATCGACGTAAATTAGCTGTGTTTATTGCTGATTATCACTTTTTTTGAAGTGAGGAAATGTCGTCGATCAAGGAAAATCTTTGTTTTGTATGTGATCGCACTTTTAAAGCAAATCAGCATTCTGTGGAATGTTCTGTTTGTTGTCCATGGTTCCATAAAGCTTGCTCAGGTATACCTAGTGCCGAATACACCAAAATTACAGCTCTTCTCTAATGTAATTCATGCAAAATTGTTGAAGTTAGAAGACTTGCCATGAATTCGCAGACATTCAAAAATGTATCAAGTCCTGTCCGTCCATCTAAAGTGCCGGTCACTCCTTCCGACTGCAAAATCTGACATTGTGTTTAACAATCAAATCAAAAACTTGCTAAAAAACCTGATGCTACTAATAAAGACGTTTTATCGGCAATTTGGCGCAAGTTTTCAATCTCTTGTTGGAGCAAAAGAAATAATTTCAAGGTGCTTTAGATGAGTTGAAGTTGTGGCAACGTGAAAAGGAAGACAAAATTGTTAATTTGGAGAAGAAAATAGCCGAGCTGTGAAGTTTTGTCCAGGATAACGTTCTTGTCGACCAAAAGGCCAATTCTCATGCTGACGCTGTCGGAAACATCTGATAACATTGACCTTTACAGTGAAATGCAGAATTGAAGTGCTCGTGCCAAAAACATCATTATTTACAACATTGATGAAAGCCCATCTGCTGTGACCTTGGAGCGTATCGATCATAATAACTCGTGTGTTGCTGATATTCTAAGTGTCCTTGAAGTTGATTTGGTTGCACCCGTCAAGGTTATTAGAATTGTCAAAAGGGACAACTTTTTAACCAAAAACTACTGCACCCCCTTTCACCCTCGCCACCTCCCCCCTTGCAGGATCATTCCCTTAAAAATTTTGAATGACAAGGGGTGCCGAGTAATAGCTTGTTTGAAAGGCTCTCGATGTCCTTTATTTTGACATTTGATTTTTTATGATCGGTCGATTCGTTTTCGCGAAAATACACGAAAATATCACTCTTTATTTTGATAAGTGAAACTACCAGCATAAACAGCAATTCGGAAGGTCAGACGTGGCAACAACCAAATAACAACCCGATTTTTTTTCCGCACTCTTTTTATCAACCCAGATATTCTCGTCGATCAAAAGTCCAATTCTCATGCTGAGGCTGTCCAAAGATTGACGGAAACATCTGATAATATTGACCTTGACAGTGAAATGCAGGATAGAACTGCTCGTGCGAAAAATATTATTATTCACAACATTGACGAAAGCCCATCTGCTGTGACCTTAGAGCATATCGATCATGATAAGTCGTGTGTTGCTGATATTTCAAGTGTCCTTGAAGTTGATTTGGTTGCACCTGCAAGGTTATTACAATTGGCAAACCCAGCAACAGACCAAGACCTGTTAGGGTTATTTTCAATGATCAGTTCTTTGCATTGAAATGCCTTCGTAATAAGAACAAATTAATTGGCAAGAATTTTACGATAAAGCAAGATCTTACTAAACTACAGAGGGCAACGTCAAACAATCTTCTTACTTTCTTGAAAATAAGGAAAGAGGTGAGGAAAATATCGGCGTTAGATATCGAAATGGCATTTCCTACATTTCCAAAATGAATAACTCTTCTCGTTCAAAAAACTAATTGAACGAGATGACCAAATGATAAGCTGTTATTGTCAGAACGTCGTGGACTTTGTACAAAAATTAATACTCTTAAGGAGGCAGTAAATCTCTGCGATTACTCGGTCATCATCCTACTAGAGACATGGCTGAATAAATCCTTCTCAACCAGTGAACTTAATTTTCAAGGATACAATATCCTCAGAATGAACCGAAGCTCTTCTACTAGTGATAAAGGGCGTGGTGGTGGAGTGATTATTGCTGTGTCTAGTGGTCTAAAGTCCCGTAAACTGCAGTTGTCCTCTGAAGAAATTGAACAGTTATTTGTCGAAGTGAAATTTTTCAAGAAAACCATCCATATTCCACCAAATTCTTCTTCAATTAAATATGACATCCGTTGTTTATCTCTTTTTGAAATTTCTGAGATTTGTCCAGGGACTGACGTGGCCATCTTCGGTGATTGCAATCTTCCGGAGGCAACTTGGAATAATGATGATGATACTTTTGTCCATTGCCCTGAGAATTCACCGGCAGGTAGATTGGCAGAAACCTTCTCCTATCTCAATATGTTACAACTCAATAATGTTTCGAATGAGCGTAATGTGTTTTTAGATTTATTGTTTTCTAGCTTGTTTTATATCAGTGTATTACCAGCTTATGATATTTGTGTACACCACAGAGCTTATGCCTTTACAATTTTAGCAAGGTGTAGTCAATCTAATTTTGATGAGCTCTTTTACGACTTTACAAATGCTAACTTTACTAGTTTTTGCAAAATACTGGAGTTTGAATTTTTGTAATTGGAAATACGCCCCCTAGCGGCCATTTTTTGCTGCTGAGACATAGCCGGCGTCCTTAATAGTTAAATCACCCGGTATGTAGGAAGTTTAGTAGATTCTCGAAGCGAAATGTTTGTATCTGATGTCCGTGGAAAGGGCTTTCCAATTATAAAAAGTATATACATTGTCACATTTTTATCCACTCTGGAACGCAAATATCCGAGAGACTTTCTCTTTTTATGACGCACTTGATTATTCCAGAACCTCCGGATGTTATTTAGATTGGCACTCAAGTTCAAAGCTGTGTGCAGTACAGGGGAGGTTTAACGATGAGACTTCGTTTACGATTCCGAATGTTATCCGAAATAAAAACCGAGAAACATTATGTTGTGTGGAGCTTCGAATCTACCTGGAAATTAAACTCCAAGAGGTTTCTTCTCCTCTTGATAGTTTTTCATCAAATGCGTTGTAAAAATCGTTTTAATGCCTCATACGTATGCATAATATGAGATTAATAGAAAATACCGACTCCATGAGTTAACGATCTAGCTATTAATTGAAAACTTTTTCAAATCGAGACTTATAAAAGTTTACTAATCTACAAACACAATCAAGGCTTTACTCGTGGGTGCCGAAAGCAAGTAAAAGCTCGTCCGTAAAGAATTAATAGTTCTTCTGAGACAGTCATTAGTTCATATTTAGTATCCACCCATTTGGTAGCGCCTGGATCTAGAAATTTCCCGACAGTACCGACTATGTGGCAACGTTGCTATGACTACCCTCGCCATTCGCCAGCCACCTTTCGGTCAGACTTTGACGCAGATATATTGTAAAAAAAATATTAAAAAATATTTCTCTACCATTCCAAGCTTTAAGGGCAAATGTACTACATAAATACAAAGCTATCGCCAAAAAAATTGAGATACACCATCAACTACCCCTCGAAAAAAAGCGAAATTTACGAAATTTTAATTTTTCCATTTTTTGCCAGCAAGATCGCCACTGGCTCGATTTTCAGAAGCTACAAAGCTTTTCACTTCCCGCGTGGGCCGTGAGGTCTGCACTCTTTGACTAATGAAATCCAATGATCAGCTTGTCCTCAAAGTTGAGACTTTCCTTTACACGGCATATAAATATTGGAAAAATAAGTAGTTTTTTACTAGTAACATACAAGGTGTTCATTTGGAAACTTCCCACCACGGATTTATCGGAAACCACTGATTTAAAGAAAAACGCCGAGACACGTCAAAAGATTTGTCAAGGGGGGCAACTTTTTAACCAGAAACTAGTTCACCCTCGCCCCTCAGGGTCATTCCCTTGAAAATTTTGAATGACAATGGGTATCGAGTAATAGCTTGTTTGAAAGGTCTTTCGAAGTCCTTTATTTTGATGATTGATTTTTTAAAATAGTTTAAGTGTTCAAAATGATGCCCGTAATTTAAAACAGAAACTACCTAAACAGTAATTCGGAAGATTGTTGCTGCGACTGGTATTTCATTAGGCTCTGTACACGCAGTTACTAATCTTCATAAATGTCATCCATTCAAAATGAAAACATAGCAAGAGTTAACCGAAGATGATAGGCGAGTTGAGTTTTGTGAACAATTGACTGCAGCGATTAATGATAATACCATTCACCAACAAAGTCTTGCCAAGTCTTGCCATATTACTTTAATTTACGATGAGTGTCGTCAAAATGCTATCGAGGCTTCGCGAGTGCATGCAGATCGTTTTTAAAGATTCGTCCTGATTTATGTTTTGTTTGAGGCGAAATGAATGTTTACTTCTCGTCTGGGTACTTCATAATTGAGTCTTGAGGCACGGATATTTACTCCAGAATATTTACTTGGTTTTTCGCATTCACGCATTCACTTCTGGCCTAATATAAAGCTAATCAGTTATCCGTTGGCGGTGTACAAAAAATAGAGAGAATCCTTACCGGTATTTTCTCTTCTCTTTTTTCAATGTCGTGACTAAAAGGAAATTGATATACATCTATTAATTTTCGGTTTTACGTCGAGATAGATTCCTGATTCGTCCCACTGTCATGGGTTTCTAACCGGTATACACTAGATGAGAAAAGACGAAATTGATACAGATTGCTTGTTTAAAAGTTGAGAAAATGCTGATCAATAACAAGATGCTGTCGCTCAAACGAAGGGATCAAGTAGAAAGACTCATGCATATATACATGAAAATTATAAGGAAATTGGAATCTAAAGCTTTTTGTGGTTACTAATTAAGGATTTGGCGTTTGATGCAAAGTGGGTAGGCTACTGTTAACTCTGAGGAAAGTAGTAGTATAGGGAAAGAAACCTTGAAATAAATTAATATGCGATGCAGGCTGTGCATTCTTCTCCAGGGACTAAGCCTTATTGGAATAAAATATATCATATGCTCAGGTTTCTTTAGGGGTCTTCTCAGATTTCCTTGGATTTTCTCGAATCTTTTTGTATCTCCTTGAGTTTAAAAATTGGCGTCAAGCAGATTGACTGCAGTTTCCATGTAAAGCTATCCTTAGTTTCGAACATGTATAACAAAAAATTACCGGATCAACTCAGTCAAACAGGCCCATAAATCAGTAAATTGTCTCCATAGACTTGACCACGTTACGATCTAGAAAATCATCTCCTGCACTGTCGTCAGTAGATTGCCTTGGACCTCATCCCAGTGGGATAGAAAATCTCCTTGGGTTATATCGTGTGAGATAGAAAACTGTCAAATAAGGCATCATCACAATAAGGAAGCCTCAAGTGAACCCTTTATAGGTAAAAAATCGAAAATATTGGGATTGGGTATCACCCTAGCGACTACTAGTCTTCTCTGGCGAGCTTTTTTCCTCTGACAACTAAGGAATGTAGCAGCTTTGTGATGGCGATCTAAAAGACTACTTAAGGCAAGCACGTGCTGGCCGTATTGTTATCTTGTGATGTAACTTAGTTGCCTTTAGTCAATTGCGATTGCGGTACGGCTGCAGAATGACAACGTATGCATTATTCAGGCATCAGGCTGGATATTAATGGTCAGTCTACGTACGGTCCTTAACGTAGGACACAACTAAGGCCGCTGTGTGCACTGGCAGTCTCGTTTCTGCACTAGACCAGGAAACGCAAATGATGATTGTAATTAAGAAAATTTCCAAAAGTGAGACATTATGTTTTTTTTATGATATATTACATCACAAAACATCATTTCCGTCCGTCTGTCCGCTAATTTTATATCCACCTATAACTTTAGAAGTACCGCTCGGATTTTGATGAAATTTACACACAAGCTTACTTCTATGCCAAGGATGAAAAAGCTATTTTTGAAAGTTGGTCTAGTGGTGGTGGAGCTAAGGGCAAAAACTCAATAGAAATAAAAATCGCTTAAATTCCATTTTTTGACATTTCAGAGGCTCCTGATCATTTTCGGGAAATTTTTTTAGGGACAGAAACTTGGGGATTGAATGTTGTAAATTTAGCATCTTTAGTATTAGTCAAAGACTTTCTATCATAGAAGCTTCTGATCCTGGTAACAACGGGGAAACTAAATGATGTAAGTCTGATGTATAGTAATAACTTTTCAATCGTTGGCGTTACGTGCACGGCGTGATGCTGCATTGTCGTGGAGGCCATTCCTGACTGTGCAATGTATAAAACTCCAACTTTTCTGCGGTGGTGTCGTCACCGACGCAACGCTACAGGAGAAATATTTATATATCTTAGGTGGATACATTGGTACAATATTGATTTGCAATATCAAACCAATATGGCAAATCTTTATTGGCTGGATATTAAAATTCAATATTGGTTGCATGACAATTTCTATATTGTCCCAATCAATTATGACAATATTGTTTTAATACTTCCTTTTATATTGGTTCAATATTTATTATCAATATTGGTTGTATGTCATATTTGGTTATTGTCCCAATCAATGATAAAAATATTGGTTCAACTCCGATTTACAATGTCTTTTCTTTATTGACTCAACATTGAATTCCAATATTGGTTGAAAGACATACTTCGTATGTATATAATAATAAAAATATTGTGGGCGAATCAAATCTCATATATATATATATATATCCAAATTTCTCTTTATTGTACGCTAGATACTGATAATTGGGCCAATATAGGCCAAACGTTTAGCCAATATAGAACAAATATAGAATTCGCTGAACGATCAACAAACAACATTACAGTAATATTGGTCGTCAATATTAGTGTTATATTGGAAGAAGCAATATTGTTTTGTTTAACCAACATATATCGGTAATATTGTGTTTACGTGTTGCGCCAATATTCGACAAATCAATATCGCGAAACAACATGTTGGGCGAATATAGGGCAGATATTGGTGTTTGACTGGAATGCTAGTGCCAATATATGAGTATTGATCCAATGTAAAAACAATGTTCAGCCAATGTCCTGTACTAGTTGGCATTAGGAGTAACTATTTTCATATCTATAGATATTTTTCTCTGAATGTTATGATCCTTAGTTGTACTACCCATTTCGCCTAACCTTCAACTTGTGTTACTCGGTTCTCTGAATATTTTTCGTCAAGTAGATTGGCTCAGTACTCATGAAGCATTGATATAGGTACAACAGACACGGACTCACAAAGCTACGTAAATGAGAAACACGGACTTGTATCATGCAAATATGTTTAAGCAACATAAAGCTTGTGAACCGAAGTTCGAATATTATCTCGCGTTTAATATTGAAAATTACTTTCTTAAATTTTCTATTATCACATATGCTTAACATGGTTTCAGGGCAGGCTACTCAACTGAAACAAGCACTATCGAGTATATTCAGTATGTTTGTGATAACCTTGATTTAGGTAATTACGTAGTGAGCATCCAATTTGACTTGTCTCAGGCCTTTGATTGTGTAAGTTCGTCATTTGTGGCCGATAAACTGCATCATGTCGGCATTCGTGGATGTTTAAATCAATGGCTAGTTAGCTTTTTAGAGAATAGAAAATTTTGTTACTGTCGCTGATAAAAAATCTGGTGAATTTTATTTAGATTGAGGCACACCTCAAGGCAGCGTCCTTGGACCACTTATTTTCTCGATTTTTCTAAATGATTTGCCTGTAAACTTATCCTACGGAAAATTACTTTTGTATGCAGACGACACAAATATCATTTTAGCTGACTCATCGCAAGATCGTCTTCAAGAA